GCCCAATAATGCATAATTTCATTTGATAAACACATTTAGATTGAATGGTAAATTATAATCAGTCACAAGAACGTCGAATCTGAATCACTTGAAAAAAACACGGGGGTGCTTAACTTTTTTCCAGGTGTATAGAAATAAACAAAAAGTGTAAATTTATCTTTACTGTACACAATAAGATTGAACTTCTTTAGGTAAAATCCAATAGAAGAGAAATATTTGCAGTAAAGTTTCACATATATAATGATGTTGACCAGGAAGTATGTATATATGGAGGAAATTGTAGCTAACCTTTTAAAACTCAATAGTCAAAAAATAAGTTACAGCTGGTACAGACCCACAGCCTTCAAAAAATAGAAATAAGGAATGCAGTGTAGCAAGTATTCTTGGATGCATCTTAGTTGTTCAACAGTTGATTACTGATGGGGAAAGCTGTTTTACCCTATATATAGGTAAATAAAAATAGGCAGATTAATGACTTCCTTCCCATAAATTACAAATATTCAAAGATCTAATACTGCAACAAATTGAGAACTGCAGATGACTTTGGAGATGTCATTTGACTACTCCTGGTCTAAGACATGGACAAGGACACCATATCTCACCTCAGTTGGCAGTTCTTAACACAAGTCCACAATTACTTTATGGCAGGAATTAAATCATAATGTTGACAAGTATAATGGTGATTAGCACAGGAATGCTTACACAAGAGAATTTTGCCCTTTATACTTTATGTTGACACGAAAGTAGCCCTCAGGCAAATGGATAGGTTTGTTTGTTGGTAATTAAGCACCAAAGCTACACAAAGGGCTATCTGTACTCTGCCCACCACAGTTTTCAAAACCTGGTTCCTAGCATTGTAGGTCTGCGGATATGTCACTGTTGGGCCACTGGAATAATGTTAATAATGAAAGAACAAATCAGTGAAAGTACTCTAATGAGAACAATCTTGGTATTAAAAAGAAGGAAGTTATGAACCAGATGTCTATTAGGATGACAGATCTTTAAATGGATTTAAAAACTGCTTAACATGTTTTTTTTATGTATATATTCCGTAGTACAAAATTGTACCATGTTTTCTACTCATTTAGAAATATTTGTATTTGTTTTTCAGTTCAGTTTTGATGGGGAAAATTGTTCAAATAAACACATTTTAACTTTTGTTCTTTCTTTCTCTGTCCAGGATCTGATTCTCTAATTGACAATTAACTGAGTTTCTTGCTGGTAAGATCGCATGTGATTCCAGGAATAAAAATCTGTCTTTTCTGTTGACAAATTGAGTAATGGTCTGGGGTTTCCCCTTGCCCCAAAGCTTAAGCATGAGTGAACAGGGCTTATGTGCAGCATAGTGTTTCTTTTGCAAATCTGGTTAAGTTATTAAAATGTTTGTAGTATGAATCATGTTCTTCTTTGTTTAGCATATTTTACTGAGCTTATTTTTGTAACTTGTAGCGGACTTAAGTGTTTCTGCCAAAATTGAGATTTTTATCTTTATTTGTTTCTCTTGCTAAGATGTATATTTTACTGCATTTTAGTTTAGCTTTTAATAACTTTTTTTCTCTTTTCTTTTTAACATTTTAAATGTGAATTTATTGTTATTCAGAAGCTTCATATTAGTTTAACATACAGGAGGACATACACTGGACTGGTGAGAAAAACTCACAAAGGTTTCACTTACCTTCTCTCTCTTTCAGGACATACACTGGACTGGTGAGAAAAAACTCACAAAGGTTTCACTTACCTTCTCTCTCTTACAAGACATACACTGGACTGGTGAGAAAAACTCACAAAGGTTTCACTTACCTTCTCTCTCTTACATGACATACACTGGACTGGTGAGAAAAAACTCACAAAGGTTTCACTTACCTTCTTTCTCTTACCAGTTCAGCACATCACAAACCCATTTTCTCCTGTTTTATTTCACCTTGTGTTAGTTACTATGATTGTGGTTTTGTCATGTAAATAAAAATTATTCTTGTGCACTTTCCATGATTCAACTCTTTCTTCCTGGTGAACTCGGGTAGATAATACAAGATAAACAGACACACACTCTTTAACTTGGTAGCCTTTGAACATCCAATTGTTAGGCCTAAACTGGCTACTCTGAGGGAAATTTATATGCCAGGAAATACCACCTTATTTTAAAGAATCATCAACATTCTTTTAATAATAAATGAAGAATTTAGGACATTTTGCACAGTAGACTCATCTTTAACCCTTTCTTCCCAAATGTATCACTGATTTCCCCTGATTAGTTCTCACAGTGAAATACTTAACTAAATTGCATTAACATATTACAAACTTTTTAAATAGTATCAAGATTCTGCTTAAAATATCATATAATTTGATTTAGTATTTCTATCATTTCCTAAGTTGAAAAACTTCCAAAAAAATGTTTTGAGATACTGTTTGAAAAAAATACTTACTTCATGTTAGGATATAATTTTGTTTTAATTATATATCAGAAAATTGCATTGTGTTTATGTATATGTGTATGTGTGTTTTCAATCAATCAGTTTTAACATTTATTTGATATTTAAAAGCATATTTATGTTTATAAATGCTAAACAAATTTGCAAAAACTGGCAAGGCTTATTTTGGTGTACTAGGACTTCAACCATGAAAATGGCATCAGCTAAGTATCATGATTTTGGCCAACATATTTCTTGATTAATTTATATCTGTAAATATAATTAGGTTTAAAGTTCTTTTATTTGATTATGATAAACTTCACAATAATATTCAATAAAAAAGGATTTGTGTCATCTAAGTTGTTTGCTTAACTTCTATATTTGCTGAATCTAATAAAGCTTATTTGTATGTTGTTATAGAAGAAAATCCCTGTAGCTTTCAAACAGATATAATTTAAGACATAAAATATTCAGGAATGAAAAGAACTGCAAATTAATATAAAGAAAAATTCTAGATCTCTGGTTTGTTTCTAAGTATTGTAAAGTTTCCATTAGAATCTCTAGGTAGCTAATATTTTGATGAAGCAAAAAGTACTACTAAAATCATATTAATTATTATTATTTACTCTGTATTGGTATAGATTGATTTAAATCTCTTCTGTCTAGTTACTTTTAGCTGTTTTCAAAGCTAAGTCGTTAGTAATTGACCAGTGCCCAAATATATTTTCTCCAAGAGTTTACAAGTACTACAGCAAGTATTGGTTGTTTTTCCTCCTGGAAACATTTAATCTTTGCATTGATTTACCATTTCCAAGTGCAATTGCCACCAATCATTTCTCTTTGCATGAATAGCCATTGCACTTAGGCATTGTTTTTCCCTCTTTTCATTAAATGTAATATAAAAACTAGAAGCATTGACTTAACTTGTACTCTAGACTAGTGGTATGCAAACTTTCTAAACACACGTTTTGTTGTGCTCCCCCCACAGACACACCTCAAAT